GTATGTGTGTATATATATATCCTCAATATTTATTCCACTCTATATGCGTCCGAGGAAGTGGGCTGTAGTCCACGAAAGCTTATGCTCTAATAAATTTGTTAGTCTCTAAGGTGCCACAAGTACTCCTGTTCTTTTTGCGGATACAGACTAACACGGCTGCTACTCTGAAACCTGCCATAGTATCTATGTACCTTCCAGTAGTGCATTAAGCAACATGACTAACATCTGTCACATGGTTTGCTCTTTCTCATGCTCACCCTAGGGGAAGAACTGTGTGTGCAGGGTAGTGTTTTGTTTTGGTAGAGCTTAATTTTTTTAGTTTGTTTTTTTTTAATTAACACGCTACTCTGTATTTAAATTAGAGAAGACAGAATGAAGAAGTAAACTTTGGACTGGAAGGTGGTGAGGTTTGTGATGGCCTTTAATTTCTGGGAGAGCTTGCTCCACAGTCTTGTCCCAAGAAAGCTCTGTCTTCTGAACAGACGACCTTTACCTTTATTGTACAGAGCTCCATTGAGCCTGAGGAGCAGAGTTGTCAACCATAGTCAACCATCAAGGTGTATTGCCTGGCTGTAGTTCAGATAGGTGGTGACATATGCTTATATAACCAAAGCAAGTCATTGTCTGCCAGATGGGACAGTCTTTTAGCCAACTGGAAATACTAAAAGCTTTACTCGTGGATGCTGTTGTGCGTGAGAGGTTAGAATCGGCAAGAATCTAGGAGCATTTCTAAGCTATGGACTGAACTGATCAATTGATATGTGTGCTTTGTCAAATTATTATATCAATATATTTTATTGTCTAGCTATCACTGAATTATTACTAAATGCTTAGGAAGAAAATTCCCCATGGGCATGTTAATATGTCATTATGCATTGTAGGGATTTTATGTTTTTACTGAAACATCTCAATTTAGCAACTTGCCTAGATGGACCACTTGTCTGATCTCTGTGTAAATTCCTGTTTCCATCTAATAAAGTATCTGTTAAATGCTACTCCAAATATAGGGACCATTAGGAGAGAAACAAAAGCCAGTAAACAAGAATCTAACCATGCAGCATTTAAGGAGCCAAAAATTAAACAAGTCACTGGACATTGCCTGTAAATTGCCTAGAATTAATGCTTGGTATTTATCAGTGACCTGTGAAAATAACCTGTGCCCAGTCCTGCAACCCTTATTTCAGAGAAGGCTCCCACTGAAGATTAATGGAAGCATTACCTAAATAAAGATGGAAGAGAACAGCCTTTGAGGTAACATTATGGAGATGACCTTGCACTTCAGCTAAAGGCCATGTGGCTGGGCACTGCTGGGCCTGACACCACTAGGGTTGGGGGGATGCTGGGGCCTGGCACCCCTAGCTGGTGGCAGAGGCAGTACTGGACCTGGCACTCCTGGCTGGTGACAGGAAGGGTGGGGGCTGGGGCTGGCACCCATAGCTGGTGGCAGGAGGGAGAGAGGCATGGGGCTGGGCCTGACACCCCTGGCTGGTGGTGGGACAGAGCTGCTGGGCCTGGTACCCTTATAGGAGGGAGGGGGCTGGGCCTGGCACCCCAAGCTGGGGGCATGCAAGAGAGAGGGGCAGGGCTGGGTCTGCACCCCTGGCTTGGTGGCAGGCAGGGCTGGGCCTGGCATTCCTGGCTAGTGGTGGACAGGGTTGGCACCTCTCGTGGCACATGAGGGAGAGGTGGGGCTGGGGCTGGCACCCATAGCTGGTGGCAGGAGGGAGAGAGGCATGGGGCTGGGCCTGACACCCCTGGCTGGTGGCAGGCAGAGGGGCTGGCATGCTTAGCTGGTGGCAGGACAGAGGGGCTGGGCCTGACACCCCTGGCTGGTGGCAGGCAGAGGGGCTGGCATGCTTAGCTGGTGGCAGGACAGAGGGGCTGGGCCTGACACCCCTGGCTGGTGGTGGGACAGAGCTGCTGGGCCTGGTACCCTTATAGGAGGGAGGGGGCTGGGCCTGGCACCCCAAGCTGGTGGCATGCAAGAGAGAGGGGCAGGGCTGGGTCTGCACCCCTGGCTTGGTGGCAGGCAGGGCTGGGCCTGGCATTCCTGGCTAGTGGTGGACAGGGTTGGCACCTCTCGTGGCACATGAGGGAGAGGTGGGGCTGGGGCTGGCACTCCTTTGGCAGGCAGGATGGGGCTGTTG